CTTCCATCTTAACCTCCCTTATATCCCACTCATTAAGCGTAAATATCAGATCAAGCATAGCTGGTTCATCCACTCCTCTCGTTCTTGTCGATCCCTTAATATGCTGGCTTAGAAAGTTTCTTGTTGCCGCGTCCAGCAGCTTAGCTCTCCATGTATCTGGTCCTCCATGCGGGTCTCTGTTCTCCCAATCAATCTTCCCGTGGTTGAAATCCTCCATGATTAGTAGTCCATATCATTTCTACTTGCGAGAGACACTGTTCTCTCTATTAAAATAATGGTGGCCATGTTGTTTCTATCATATTCCTGTCTGGGTCTTCTGTCATTTGGTGGCGGGTTATATATATGACTGGGACTACAATTTTTTGTCCTCCAGTTGCTATTGTACCTGTTATATAGTCACTGAAACCTTCACAGCCCTGAATAACCATTTTCTCAAAATCCCATAATTTTCTTACCAGCAGAGCTGCACCACCACCACCTCCTCTTCCCTCTCTCTTTCCTCACAACACAGTAGTCCAGTGGAAACATTGCATTTGTTATGGTTTTCGTTTGCTTTGTTTCTGTGAGTGCTATTATGTCTGGGTTTTCTTCAAGTACCCATTCTCCACATTCATTTGTTTTATTTGTAATCTAATCTATGTTAGTGTACATTACCTTGGGACTCACTTTCTTCTGTGAAAGAGGGGGGGGGGGGAAGGGGGGGCAGGGAGGGTATGGGATGAAGGGGGTGGGATGACAGGGGAGGGGGGGGGGGAAAGTGGGATATGGTGGGAGTTGGGCAAGGGAAGCAGGGTGGGAGTTGGGTGAGGGGGGAAGGAGAGGAGCCTGGACATTTGAGTGGGGGCAGGGAGGGTTCGGGGTTTGTGTACTGTGTACTGGTGCCACTGTGAAATTGTGCCACTGTGAACTTGTGCCACTGGGAACTGGTGCTACTGTGAACTGGTGCTACTGTGAACATGTGCCACTGTGAACTGGTGCCACTGTGAACTTGTGCCAATGTGAACTGGTGCCACTGTGAACTGGTGCCACTGTGTACTGGTGCCACTGTGAACTTGTGCCACTGTGAACTGGTGCTACTGTGAACTGGTGCCACTGTGAACTGGTGCCACTGTGTACTGGTGCCACTGTGAACTGGTGCCACTGTGAATTGATGTCACTGTGAACTGGTGCTACTGTGAACTGGTGCTACTGTGAACTGGTGCTACTGTGAACTTGTGCTACTGTAAACTGGTGCCACTCTGTACTGGTTTCACTGTGAACTGGTGCCACTCTGTACTGGTGCCACTGTGAACTGGTGCCACTCTGTACTGGTGCCACTGTGATCTTGTGCTACTGTGTACTGGTGCCACTGTGTACTGGTGCCACTGTGTACTTGAGCCACTGTGTACTGGTGTCACTGTGAACTGGTGCCACTGTGTACTTGAGCCACTGTGTACTGGTGTCACTGTGAACTGGTGCCACTGTGAATTCGTGTCACTGTGAACTGGTGCAACTGTGAAGTGGTGTCACTTTGTACTGGTGCCACTGTGAAATGGTGCCACTATGAACTTGTGTCACTTTGTACTGGTGCCACTGTGAACTGGTGCCACTATAAACTGGTGCCACTCTGTACTGGTGCCACTGAGAACTGGTGTCACTTTGTACTGGTGCCACTGTGAATTGGTGCCACTATGAACTGGTGTCACTTTGTACTGGTGCCACTGTGAACTGGTGCCACTATGAACTAGTACCACTCTGTACTGGTGCCACTGAGAACTGGTGCTAATCTGTAATGGTGCCACTGTGAACTGGTGCGACTTTGAACTGGTGCGACTGTGAACTGGTGTCACTGTGAACTGGTGCCAGTGTATTCTGGTGCCACTGTGTACTGGTGCCAATGCATACTGGTGCCACTCTGAACTGGTGCCACTGTGAACTGGTGCCACTGTGTACTGGTGACAATGTATACTAGTACCAATCTGTACTGATGCCACTCTGTACTGATGTCACTTTGAACTGGTGAAACTGTATTCTGGTGCCAATTTGTACTGGTGCCACTCTGTACTGGTGTCACTCTGTACTGGTGTCACTCTGCACTGGTGCAACTGTGTACTGGTGCCACTGTGTACTGGTGTCACTGTGAACTTGTGCCACTGTGTACTGGTGCCACTCTGTACTGGTGCCACTCTGTACTGGTGCCACACTGTACTGCTGCCACTCTGTACTGGTGCAACTGTGTACTGGTGCCACTGTGTACTGGTGCCACTGTGAACTTGTGCCACTGTGTACTGGTGCCACTCTGTACTGGTGCCACTCTGTACTGGTGCCACACTGTACTGGTGCCACTGTGAACTTGTGCCACTGTGTACTGGTGCCACACTGTACTGGTGCCACACTGTACTGGTGCCACTCTGTACTGGTGCCATACTGTACTGGTGCCACTCTGTACTGGTGCCACTCTGTACTGGTGCCACTCTGTACTGGTGCCACTCTGTACTGGTGCCACACTGTACTGGTGCCACTCTGTACTGCTGCCACTCTGTACTGGTGCAACTGTGTACTGGTGCCACTGTGTACTGGTGCCACTGTGAACTTGTGCCACGGTGTACTGGTGCCACTCTGTACTGGTGCCACTCTGTACTGGTGCCACACTGTACTGGTGCCACTGTGAACTTGTGCCACTGTGTACTGGTGCCACACTGTACTGGTGCCACACTGTACTGGTGCCACTCTGTACTGGTGCCATACTGTACTGGTGCCACTCTGTACTGGTGCCACTCTGTACTGGTGCCACTCTGTACTGGTGCCACTCTGTACTGGTGCCACACTGTACTGGTGCCACTCTGTACTGGTGCCACTCTGTACTGGTGCCACTCTGTACTGGTGCCCTACTGTACTGGTGCCACACTGTACTGGTGCCACTCTGTACTGGTGCCACTCTGTACTGGTGCCACTCTGTACTGGTGTCATACTGTACTGGTGCCACACTGTACTGGTGCCACACTGTACTGGTGCCACTCTGTACTGGTGCCACTCTGTACTGGTGCCACTCTGTACTGGTGCCACTCTGTACTGTGAACTTCGTCCCATAGACGTTAAGCACACTATACATCAAAAGAGAAATACACCAATATTCATGTACACAAATGAGTATTTCTACCAAGATACACCGGTAGATATTGAAGGCGCTTTAATATACCGAAATACAGAGGAAGATGTTGCATCATGTATACTATCTGCAAAAGTGTATATATTGGTGAAGGAAACAATACAATTAAAGTGTTATATTACATTTCTTTTATACAATACAAGTGTTGTGTTCCACATGAGTTATATACGACAACACATATGTGGCGAACACACGTTCCACATGTGTGTGCCACAGGTGTTGAGTGCCACAAGTGTTGTGTGCCACAGGTGTTGTGTGCCACAGGTGTTGTGTGCCACAAGTGTTGTGTGCCACAGGCGTTGTGTGCCACAGGTGTTGTATGCCACAGAAGTTGTGAGCCACAAGTGTTGTGAGCCACAAGTGTTGTGTGCCACAAGTGTTGTGTGCCACAGGCGTTGTGTGCCACAGGTGTTGTATGCCACAGAAGTTGTGAGCCACAAGTGTTGTGAGCCACAAGTGTTGTGTGCCAAAAGTGTTGTGTGCCACAAGTGTTGTGAGCCACAAGTGTTGTGTGCCAAAAGTGTTGTGTGCCACAAGTGTTGTGTGCCACAAGTGTTGTGTGCACAAGTGTTGTGTGCCACAACAACCCGTTCTCGCAAATTTAATAAGTCAATATTGACTTATTAAATATGTGCATAGGTGACATACTTAACATAATAGTTTCCCTTGAAAAGCTTCATAGAAAACACCGACCTTACCTAACCTACTTAGTATGTTAAGATAAGCATCTTATTGCTTCGTAATTACAATTATTACCTAACCTATAATAGGTATAGGTTAAGTAATAATTGTAATTACGAAGCAATAAGATGCTTATCTTAAGATACTAACAAGGTTAGGTAAGGTCGGTGTTTTCTATGAATCTTTTTAAGGGTATCTATTATGTTTAGTATATCACCTATGCACGTAGTTAATAAGTCAATATTGACTCTACGAATTTGCGAGAACGGGTTGGCCACAAGTGTTGTGTGCCACAAGTGTTGTGAGCCACAAGTGTTGTGAGCCACAAGTGTTGTGTGCCACAAGTGTTGTGAGCCACAAGTGTTGTGTGCCACAAGTGTTGTGAGCCGCAAGTGTTGTGAGCCACAAGTGTTGTGAGCCACAAGTGTTGTGTGCCACAAGTGTTGTGTGCACAAGTGTTGTGAGCCACAAGTGTTGTGTGCCACAAGTGTTGTGTGCCACAAGTGTTGTGTGCCACAAGTGTTGTGAGCCACAAGTGTTGTGAGCCACAAGTGTTGTGTGCCACAAGTGTTGTGTTCCACAAGTGTTGTGAGCCACAAGTGTTGTGTGCCACAAGTGTTGTGTGCCACAAGTGTTGTGAGCCACAAGTGTTGTGAGCCACAAGTGTTGTGTGCCACAAGTGTTGTGAGCCACAAGTGTTGTGTGCCACAAGTGTTGTGTGCCACAAGTGTTGTGAGCCACAAGTGTTGTGTGCCACAAGTGTTGTGAGCCACAAGTGTTGTGTGCCACAAGTGTTGTGTGCCACAAGTGTTGTGAGCCACAAGTGTTGTGTGCCACAAGTGTTGTGTGCCACAAGTGTTGTGAGCCACAAGTGTTGTGTGCCACAAGTGTTGTGTGCCACAAGTGTTGTGAGCCACAAGTGTTGTGTGCCACAAGTGTTGTGAGCCACAAGTGTTGTGTGCCACAAGTGTTGTGTGCCACAAGTGTTGTGAGCCACAAGTGTTGTGAGCCACAAGTGTTGTGAGCCAAAAGTGTTTTAAAAGATTAGCCAAGAACTGAATATGCAGGGAGGTTGGCACGCCTCCATATGTTATGCTGTTTACGAAGGCTGTTATGCCTTCCCCGATTGAGAGTTAGTTGTAGGTGAGGTCTGGGTGTCCGTAGGTCTGGCCTAGGTGTCTGTTGGTTTGGTCTGGGTGTCAGTAGGTCTGGTCTCGGTGTCTGTAGGTCTGGTCTGGGTGTCCGTAGGTCTGGTCTGAGTGTCCGTTGGTCTGGTCTGAGTGTCAGTAGGTCTGGTCTCGGTGTCTGTAGGTCTGGTCTGGGTGTCCGTAGGTCTGGTCTGAGTGTCCGTAGGTCTGGTCTGAGTGTCCGTAAGTCTGGTCTGGATGTCCGTAGATCTGGTCTGGGTGTCCGTAGTTCTGGTCTGGGTGTCCGTTGATCTGGTCTTGGTGTCCGTTGATCTGGTCTGGGTGTCCGTAGGTCTGGTCTGTGTTATGCAAAAAGGCTGTAATGCCGTGAGTGTTCATCATGAGTGATCATCTGTGTTGTGATTGTAAGTCCTCGCAAACCTAACATGGGGCAGCAGGTCGGGTTGCAGGAGCACGTGCAGGGCTCTGTCGGCGCTGCTTAGGGGTTACAGCATGTGCTTGGTTATGGGCGGGAGGAGCAGGGCTATAGCGGTTAGCTGGGTTATTACAGCAGTGTCATGACAAGGCAGCTGGTGGAAGGTGCAGAACGGTGCACGAGCGGCTTGGCATTTTGACATGTCGTGGCCAGATCTATGGTGAAATGTGCAATGTAGACGGTTGTAATAGTTAATATGGCCTGCATTGTTATGTCTGGCATGCGGTTGATAACGAGTGTTGTTTGAGGTGCATTCTGCCTTACAGTGGCCTGGTTTACCACTGTTAAAGCATTCTGGCGTTCGCGGGCGTGGAGGATACTGAGGAGAATTAGTCCTGGAGTATGAGCTTGGGCCATATGAGGGGGTAGAGGAGACCTAGCATGAGTCTGAACGTTACTAGGGAAAGAACGCATAACAAAGTTCACAGGGTTATGGGTTCTTTAGCCTCTCGTTGGAATCTACCATTTCATCCATTAATTCCCAAATAGTGTTGCTTGGACCAAAGTCCTTAGTTTCTATGTCCTTCAGTATGGCCTCGGGGGCATGACGCTGCATGGCACTAAACGTCAGTGGTCTACACACATTGTCCATGGTGAGGCTTCCCAGTGCTTCTCATACTGAACCCGTCAAAGCTGACTTCAGTGAGCTATGTAGCTTATCTAGACGTCTTCTGAAAGCGTTACGCATTTCATCAGGACGCATTACTGCATTAGCTATTTGGTGAGCAATGCCAAAGGAATCATGATCGACAGCTGAGGATTATCTCTTATGATAGAATTGTTTAAAGTCGTCCCACTTCACAATTTTCTTTAAGTCATATGATTCTGCTACGCGATATGCATCTACGGTTTTATAGTTAAGAGTGGACGTCGCCATATTGATATAGTCTGCATCTGTGACAGCAGTCCCCTTGTCCCTTACTGTAGCTTTTACACTAGAGAACCAAGATTCCAGGAGGATTGGATCCTTTCCACTGAATGGGTGAATGTCAACAGACTGGGTAAAAACCGTTACAGTGAAAGAAAGATGCGAATGGCGGAATAAGTGAAGGGAGGGGTGGTGTTAAGGACAAGGTGATTGGAGAAGATGAGGGGGGAGGGCAGGATGAAGGAGTGGGGACGACGAGATGAGGGAAAGAGGAAGGTGAAGGAGGACCGGTGGGGACGACGAGCGGAAGGAGAAGACGAGAGGATGGAGAGAGCACCCGGGAACCAATGGGTACCGCCCTAATATTCCTTTTCTTAAAAGGAATATTAAAACTAAACCATCCTGCTCAACTAAAAGTTGAGCAGGATGGAGGGGGGGGGAGAGGAAAGGACAAGGGGAGAGAGAGAGAGAGAGAGAGAGAGAGAGAGAGAGAGAGCGAGAGCGAGAGAGAGTGTGGTTCAGGAGGGGGGAAGGGGAGTGGGTCAGCAGGGGAAAAGGGGAGTGGACCAGGAAAAGGGAAGGGTATTTAAAAGTAATGTGCTGACGTTGCTTTTTCGTTTTGTATGTTTAGAGGTATTACGGCCACTTAGGACCAGTAACTGGGTTCTTGTTGGAGGAGCCTATGTGTCGTATCCGACCCAGAGTAGGTAGTACGCTTTCAAGAAAGTGGCTAATATAGTGCAAAATGAAGGGGAGGGGATGAACAAAACACTGTTCCTTTCACCAATGTATTATATATTTTACCATCACCGTTAAGTATATATAAACGTACACCATCACCGTTCATATATATAAAAGAACAGATAGGCTATTTCTACACCTATATACAAGGATATCCTTTCACTCAGGATATTAAATGTGCTCATGTGCAGAGTTCGTCAAAACCCAGTGTTTCTCCACTGCCCAGTAGCGTATCCAAAATTAGTGGGAAAAACACTGGCGAGTTCACCTGTACGTGGGCCAGCCCACCGACAGTGTCACGAGGTGCCTGTACCCCACGACCGCTCTCCAGCTACTCACTGGCAGAGGACCTCAGCCACACGCTGAGCGGGGTCACAAACCACTACACGGGTAGCGATCCCCTGGCGGCAGCCTCTAGCGTCCAACTACCAGCACTACTCGACAGGCACCTCCCTGTCGTGAGTCTCTCCCCTAAGCCAGTCCCGGAGGCACGCCGATCTCTTTTAACACCATGTAACTAGCAGCTACCACATTGCTTCGGAACGGTGGCGGCTTAAATGGTCATTTTTCCAGGACCATGTCGGGAGACCGTGGACTGCCCAAGACGAACTGCCGTCTCCAGTACCACTGCCCCCAGACGTCACCTCTGTGAACACAAAAATGTCAAAATGTCGTTTCACCAGTTCCTTGCCGGTACTGGTAAAACCAGGAAATACCACTAACCCACTGGGAAGTTGGCATTGTGCTCTGTAGCACACCCTAGGTGGCGCTGGTCTTGATTCGCCATCTCACCAGAGGTCACTCACAACGACCTCTCTGGCTGGCGAAGGCAGGAAACTGGAGTCATCAGGCTACTACCACTACATGGTGTTGTTCGTATGGTATCCGGTAGCATGGGAGTTAGAGAGCAGACTCACAGATGGTGCTGAAGTCACTACTCCCTGCTCCGATGAGGATGTCGGGTTCGTAACAAGAGGAAAAATCACAGATCCGGTCAATGCCGGGAACCCTTTCTAGTATGCTAGAAGGTCGGAGGGGCCAGCCGGCCGAGCGGACAGCAAGCTGAACACGTGATCCTGTGGTCCCGAGTTCGATCCCGGGCGCCGGCGAGAAACGATGGGCAGAGTTTCTTTCAGCCTGATGCCTCTGTTACCTAACAGTAAATAGGTACCTGGGAGTTAGTCAACTCTCATGGGCTGCTTCCTGGGGGTGGAGGCCTGGTCGAGGACCGGGCCGCGGAGACACTAAAAAGCCCCGAAATCACCTCAAGATAACCTCAAGAAGAATGCCATCAGAAAGAATTTCTGTCGGTCTGTCTGTTTAGAGCTGGAGGGCACACACTTGGGGCTAGTGTGTGGCCTCACCCAAATTAGCAAAGGGAATGGTCTGGGGTACAGGATGAACATAGGTTGGTACATATCTTATACTCATCCTGCACCCCAGGATACAGGATGAAAATAGCCGTATATGAAACATAATGTAAAACGAATTGAAAATAAAAGAATCGATTTTAGAACTTTTGTAAAAGGGTAAAAGGTTATCGTTTACCTGTAATGTTGACCCTGGAGTGACTCATGAGTCACATCCTGCGTTGCTCATTGAATGAATCATTGGCCAACTGCAGAGTGAATCATAAGTCATATGCAACATTACCATCGGTGTGAATCATGGGTCACATGCAGTGTTAGTCAATGGGTGTTCTTCTGCAGTGTTGACCCCTGGTTTACATCATTGGTAACCAAATACAGCGTCGTCTGCATTTTGAATCATGGTGTTACGGCCCTACTGGGACGCAACCGGGTTCTTCTCTGATGTTAGTAGAGTTTGGGAATCCGGCCCCAAGTTAGTAGAGGCTTTCAAGGGGTGTGTTCCATAACGCAAGGTAAATTAAAGGGGGAGGGATACAAATGTTCTGATTTATATATATATTTTCATCACCAAGAATAAATAAATATCAGTCACACGCGGGGGGTTATATTATAACTACACTATTATGTACAGAGTTGTCTTCCTCCGAAGACACTGGATGCTCCACGGTGCTCACTCTGGGTAGCCCTGGTTCCTTCTATCGTGGCCCACGATGAATCCTCTATGATTCTCTTGGCGAATCTACCCCTGGTCACAGGCCAGCCAAATCACAGTCCCACTGGGTGCTCCGTCGTGGAGGCCTTCAACCACAATCCAGCCTGTAGCTGGCAGGTATCGATCAGCTTCACTCTGTAGGCCACTCCACGACCGATACTAGGGTTGCGAGCCCTAGGCAGGAGCCTCGTGTGATCCTGCTGATCACTCTCCTCATTAAGCACCACAGTGACTAGTCTCTTCCACCAGCCAGCCCTGGATAAGGCGATTCCCGACACTGCCACGTCACTGGCAGGCTAATACTCTCAACAGAGTTCGTCCGGGGTTGACTCACAGCTTCTTCAGCAGACTCGTGAAGAGACCTTGGCTGCCTTGGGTAGACTGATCCATCGTCCAATATAGCAGTCCCAGGTCGACTCTGCAATCAGACACGTCATTAATACTGGGACGCTCTAGGGAACTTCACTTAGACACAAACGTCCACCTCTTTGCTCCATAGATGGCGTTCACTGTCTAAGCGCCACCACACCAGAGGTCAGCAGCGGCTATTCCACGAGCCAATTAAGACGGGAATCCAGCACGTATAGCCGGAATATCCCGTCCTCACTAGATGGCGTTGTCCATTTGGAGTGGGTTTCGGGAGCGGACTCACAGATGGCGTTGTCGTCACTGCTCCGTGCTCCGACGCTGGACTCGGGTCCGTAACCCATGGGTCACCACCTGTAGCGTCACCCCGTGTGAACCATGGGTCACCACCTGTAGCATCACCCCATGTGAATCCTGGGTCACCAGCTGTAGCGTCGCCCTGTGTAAAGCATGTGAATCATTTATCAATCTCTCCTTTCAATCATATAATATTTTACAAAATTGGAGTTAAAAGGTACCCCTCCTAGTCTCTGCCATTTCGCTCAAGGGGATTAAACAGTCACCTCCAGTCATCCCAAAATTTCGTCACCTCAGTGACCCTGCACAGACATTGCTAATAGTTAATGACGTCATCCTTCACACTTACATCTTAGCCAAAAGGCCGAGAAGCGGCCTTTTGAAAATGTAATAAGGAATTACGAAACGCGCATTCAGGCATCAGACCAGGAATAAAAGGAATTAATTTTGGAGAGTTACTTTATCAATTACCCTCGACAGTGAAGAACGTAAGAAATATTGAGAAGATTCGTGTTAGAATTATTAATCTTACCCATTCGATCATATTCAACAATATATATATATATATATATATATATATATATATATATATATATATATATATATATATATATATATATATATATATAAAATATAAAAAGGGAGTACCACCTCTGGCTGGAAGAAAGGGGACCCTTAGCCTCGGAGGAAACCACACATAACGCATTAGAGGGAATGTTTAGGTCCCCTCCAATACAATTTCTGTGTGCTTTTCTCCTACCACCCCTTCCTTTAATTTTTTTGCTTTATTATATGTTTAAAGGTTACAAGATATACATTGGTTGATACAAAGAGAGTATGGATCTCTTGAAGCTCCTCCGCTTCAGGACGGGTATTGAAGATGCAGCAGGCGTTTCCCCTATGGATCGCTACACTGAGGCGCTGAAGCAAAAAACTGACAGCTCTTGGGTCCCTGGGGACGTCAATGAGCTTGGAGCCCAATTCCTTTAGAGATCCCGAGGCACTCTTGCCTCAGGGGCCATGCGTCTCAGACGCTATGGGATCAAAGATGAATTCACCTTCTAAATCGCCTATATTTGGCTGATTTTGCTCTTTCCCTGTGGTTGGCCGCCTTACCTGCATGATCAGCACCGAAGTGTACATAGGTGTCAGCCAAGGTGGATACACACACGTGTAGTCCCACACCAAGTGCCTGCCCTTTTTCCAAGAGTATATGGTGATGCCATCAGGGCGAAGTG